TCCCAACCAAAATGAATACTCACATCAATAAAAAACAAAGGAGCATAAAATCCTAAATTTACAGGATAATAAAATAGTTTTATGCCCCTTCCTAAACTTCCCATACAATTGTATCTCATGGAAAGTTGTACCTCACCATAAGTATGTGTCAATAAAGAACATTTCACAAGTGTTTCAATCTCTGGCTCAACGCTGATTTGACAGTGCAGCCTCAAGAGTCACAGCTCATCGCACACATACTCATTCAAGGCACACAAAGTGGCATTACAAAATGGGAAAAGCAAGGTCCTTGTAAAAAAAAAATATATATATATATATACACAGTTGTATGTGTGTACTTGCACATGTTCAGCTAATGATTCAAAACAAAAATTGCAGAGTTTTTGCCAACAAAAAAGTTATGTGTTGTATAAAACTTTTTGCATGGGGAGCTATAAATCCCAATCTCGTGGCACTAGGAGATGGAAAAGTAGATCTTGATTAGATGGAGTCTGGGCAAATACGTCGATCTAAGACCCTGTTCACACGTACCCAGGTATCGGATAAAACCCACATACTTGATCACGTTTTGACCTGTTTTTGCGTTTCTGTGTAGAAATAAACAGAGTTTCAAGTTCAAAGCATGCACATTGGCATGGCCGTTTGATTGACAACGACAGAGGGAGCACCAGGGAGCACGGGGACCTCTGACCAAGGCTGTTCCTGCCGGACTATGGAGCTGTTGTGAACCGCATTTGTGGAGCATTGGACAGGGCTGAACAGAGCTTTGGACTCATCTCTTCGACAAGCACTTATAACTCTTATAACTCAAACTCCTCCTGCTTATGGTCGCACAACCATGCATTTGTTTTGGTGGGCGGGGGTTTATTTTACCAGGCGTGGATATTTTAAACAAAGCTGAGCATCAAACATCAATTCAAATAATGAAATGATTGCCATATAAAAATCTTGGTTTGGGATCTTTGGCTTTACCCAAAACACAACGCTGCCAATAGTTGCCAGTCCCAGGTGAAGAACTACCACTGGGTTGATTTAAGAAATCCCAAGACTGGTTCTTCAGAAAGTCATAAAGGGATACAATCTCATGGGCAACATCGAGAATAAAGAAAGACTTTGTTTACTCTACTTTTTTGTTACAACTGAACACGGCAGTCCCTTGGTTGTCAGATATTTTTAGGAATGCAATCTCATATCGTCTCAAAGTCAAAATTCGACATCATTGAGAGTTTTTTCTGAGACAGAATTTTTCCATTAAACTTCCCTCTGGACTTGAACAGAGCCCTTTAGTGCTCTCTCTTTTATAACATACCATGCTTCCATTGCTAACCCTTAGTCTTGATTGCTCTCCTTCATTCTTGGCTTTTTAAAATCACCACTCAACTCTGCGCCTGAATATCTTCCCTCCAATCAGTGCATGTGGGGAAAACATAGACCCACTCCTGCTCGGTTGTTTCATTTGTATAATGTCAAATCATCTTAGAAGAAACGAACACGTTGCTAAGGGATAGAGCTCGTTAGTCTGCTCCAAACGGACAGAAAACATAACATAGCTCTGCACTGCAAACAATCTATAACTTGACACCTACATTTGTTTATTTTTGTACGTTGATAAGTTTAAAAATATATATATATTTAATCTACATGCTGTATGATGATCATTATTTCTGCCATGGCTTCATTAAAATGTTTAAACCAAGCTGGATATTACAAAAAATCATGTACTGTATCTACTTATTTTTCAGACAACTTGGTAAAGTCTTCCAAGACAACTGCTGTTGTGATTTAGGGCAAAACAAAAATTGGAAGTAAATTCTGTACATGGGGTGGGAGTCTTTCTTCTTCCCATTCCATTTCAAGCTCATACATTGTAAATTAAGTTATTAACACATTTTGTGTATATATATATATCATAAATTTAATGATGAATGTTTTTAAATATATGAATGCATACATCTCTGCCTGTGTATGTGTGTATTATATGTAAGATTATGAATGAAGCTATTTCTGCTTGAACGAATGAATAAATGAGAATCTTGCATTTGTATTGCCACAAGGACATATTTCTGATCATGTTTTAATGCAGCTTTTTACTTCATTTTCCAAGCAACATTGCTACCATTTCTTGAGAAAATGATCTACTCAGAAAGAAGTATGATATTATTGTTTAAGTTGCCAGTTTCTTTGGTGAAATCCAACTGGTTTGCCCTGCCCCTAAACCTCAGCTTCTTGCTCTAGATGCAGGGAAAACCTGCACTGAGCTGGAGCTGTTTTGCAAGGAAGAATGGGCAAGAATTCCACTCTCTCGATGTGCATAACTGATAGAGACATACCCCAAGCGACTTGCAGCTGTAATTTGCAGCAAAAGGTGGCGCTACAAAGTATTAGCGCAAGGGGGCCGAATAATATTGCATGCCCCACTTTTCAGTTTTTTATTTGTTAAAAAAGTTTAAATTATCCAATAAATTTTGTTCCACTTTACGATTGTGTCCCACTTGTTGTTGATTCATGACAAAAAAATTAAATTTTATATCTTTATGTTTGAAGCCTGAAATGTGGCGAAATGTTGAAAGGTTCAAGGGAGCCGAATACTGTACATTGTGGTAAATAAATCTAAGGCAACCACAGTGAGACTGGCATAATGTAAAAACAAATACAGTATTAGCCTTGTAAGCATGTTTTAGGATATCAAGTAGAGTTAGCTAACTTGCCCAACACTAATTAGCTTGAATCTCACAAATAAGGCTAAAAGGTTAAAAGAGTTGCGCACTATTATGTACAAAACTGATGAGAATATGTTTATACCTTGTTCAGATGACAGTGAAACCTCCTACAGTTTCAGCCCAGACTGCTGTCTGCTGCTGTGAGATGTCCTTCTCCCACGTCATCGCCGCCATTTTGGCTCCCCCTAGCGTTTCTATGCGGAAGTGAAAAAGTGCCACTTCAAAGCCGTTTTTTTAACATAATTAATCTGAACATGTCAAAATGAACACACGAAATATTATAAACCCATATTGTAGTTATATATTCTGGATAGCAGCATATTAAATTCTGGTACTACTTTAAAGTTGGGATGTGAAAGTTATTCAAATGTGGTCAAAACTCCTGCATCTCCTGCTTTTCCTCAAATATTGTCTGAGCACAAAGTCAAATCCCGGCCGTGCACTATGGGAGAGCCTTAATAATTCAGAAGCACATTTTTGAAAGCACACAATGGTGAATGGCTCTGCGGGTCTCTGTAGAATATGTTTTATGTGAGAGCAAAATCAAGACTGAAAATGCCAGTTATAAAGAGTGCTATATTGAAAACGAAGGACCATAAGCAGATTAACGACTCATTTAAAGATGTAATTAACTGTTTCAATACAGCCGTCAAGGGATATTTATAATAATGCATTCCCTTTAATGATGAAATCTTTCCAAATAGCCCACGGGGAGAGAAGTGTAATGCAATAATGCACACAGGCTAGCTAATACGGTTGCATCATTCATAAGCGCTTGCATTTACTCAAGATCAGAGTGAGAGAAGTCAGGCCATCTCTGTGAAAAAAAGACATAGAGAAGAGAGAGGGCACTTCCATTTTTGCTATTCATATACTTTATATACTGTGAATTAATCTAGCCACATATGATAATGCATATTTCATTTGCAAATCGGTGACCAGGGTTGTCAATTCAATTCCAATTCAATGTATTTTTGCAAAGCCCAAGGCAACAGCAGTAGCCTCGAAGGACTTTCCTCTGTTCGGATCAAACAATTCAAACCCACAAAATGCAATAAGAGTAAGTACATAGAATACGCAAATCCATAGGGAGTGGGATGACCAATGTCCGTATAGTAAATGTTAATAAAGTTATTCTGTTTGAATTTCAAACACGCAAGGTAAGGGTGAAAGCAGAAAGTGTTCTGAATGCCACTGACAAACAGCCCATGCTAACCACATTTGTTTTGTCTCTATGAGAAGCAGAGTAGGATGGCAGCGCGTGGCCTTCTGCAGCTGGTAATGTGCTGACAGAGAATTTTATTAAAGAAACTCATATGGAAGCCATCTCCTCTTTCTCAGTCGGTCTGGTTCACAGTCTAGATGTATTGCGAGAGAAAAACACAGTGTGCAATTTTGTGATGGGGCCGGTTCTTTGTAAAATGGTTGCGCCCCTTGCGATGTGAAAGCCACATCCTGTCAGACCTCAGAAGCGAAGCAGCACAGGACCTGGTTAGTACTGTGATGGGAAACCTCTGGGAACACCAGGTGCCACAGAGGGGCGGCTACGGCTGTAAAGTGTCAAACTGTTGGTGGGTTCTCAGGCAAAACACTTCACCCACATCGTCCAGAATGAGTCTAGTGTTTCAAGGCATAGTTTCCACTTTGTCCTTTCATGAAAGTATGATGGTAGCTTTCCATGGAAAGTTGCAAACTGTAAAGGTAAAGGTGCATTTAATCTATCCCCATAGGACAATTTATTCTCCGCATTTGAGCCGTCCTGATGCCACTCGAGCCTCTATCAAGAGCAGTGGTCTCCAGAGGACAGCGTACAGATGTTGATGCTTGGCTTGGTCAGGACTACCGGACTTGGAGGCTTTACCTAATGTACATGTTTTAGCGGTAGGGCAAACAAGGAAAAACCTACACAGGCATGGGGAGAACATGCAAACTCCACTCAGAAAGACCCTGATCCGACCGGGATTCAAACCCAGGTGCTTCTTGAAGAGGAGCAAGAGTGCTATCCACCATGCCAGCCACCATGCAGCCCACATAAATGTGCACAGTGACTTTGACCATGTTCAGCATTATTACATTATGAAACAAACAGTAAAAAAATTCCACCCAAACACAAAACTACAGCTTCACAAAGCCAAGCGCTTCCTGCAGTGGAACAAAACTGTGTCAAATACCACTTTACAAAACAAAACAATCCAAAAGTGGAACATACGGCATCTAACATATTGATGACGATGGGACTAATGTGGTCGACTGCGGTAACAACAAAAACACTTTCATCTGATGCTCCAGTTCCTGAGGCTCGATGAGCGGAGACAAAACGCATCTCCAGCAGGCCCTGCGGATCCCTCTGAACCAAACCCAACTGCACACGCCTCTCAGCCGCCAGGCAGAGGGATAGAGGGGGAAACAGAAGAAGCAAACAGCCCGGGAAAATCTATTGTCAACAGTGGAGTGAGCCAGGCCAACCGCAACGGCCCACACAAACAACTACAGGGAGATCAGACCATGGGGTCCTTGAGGCCTGCCCCCTATAGGCAGGAAATGGAACACATTTTTGATGGATAATATATTGCCATTGTAACTTTGATGCCCCTCAAATAGGTAATTCAATCTCAAAGACAGAGCTATATTGCTGGGTAGCCTCCATCCAGATGGAAACAAGAATGAAATAACTTGTGTTATCAGCTTTTCTGAGGGAAATTATGAAAATATGCACATTTCTAATGGATATAAACGCATTGAAACAAACATTGAAAAATGTGTTATGGTTGTGCATGTGATGACTAATGATGTGCCATAGGGTTTGTTCCAGATAGGAACCAGTTAGACGGCTATATCAACTTTGTTTCCTTCCTTATTAAAAATAAGGTACCTCAGCTTTCAACGTCTTTTCAACTATCTCCATGGAGACAAGCAGATCACAGCTATTTTTAGCAATTTAAACCACTAACAATTGAACACAAAAAGACAAATTCAATACCACACCGAACACTTGTGGGCAATCCAAAAATACATTTATAGCAAAGTGGCTTGAGATGCGATCACACGGCCCAGCGTGACCTTCAGCCTTGCACAAATGATCTTCAGACTTGATCCCAACACATTATCGCATTTGCGCAGTTATACCAGGTCAATCTCTAATCTTGCAATTACTTTTGAGTCCTCTGTTTGTGCAATCAGTCCAGCTTTAGGTTGCATTTGGCGTAAACAAAGCGATGGGCATGAAATACAATGTAACAGATAGGAGACGGAGCAGTGTATATGGGTGGTGATGAGTGGGAGGATTTCTCTGGACACATGACCACTTTCCCACGGACAATCGCAATAATTGTGTGGATAATGAAATGCAGAGGAGAAGCAATTTGTTATGGAGGCGGCATAATTATTTCCATGGCTAGAAACGCGTTGACGATAGAGCTAATGCAATTGTACAGTCGGCCCACTCAAGAGAACAAAGACAGACATTTAAATATAAGGCAAGAGGAATTGTGTTCTGGATTAATGGAGTGGTGTTCACGGCGAGTGTGTGAAAATAATGTTGGTTTGATTCCCTGACCAAAGCCAATCAAGTGTTGGCCGTTTATCACAGCATTACATTACATTGTTATTGTGATGAATCGGACATGACTTGACTTTTACTATACGGTATCCGCATGTTCGGTAAAGGTTGAGGGTTATATAGCATAATAGTAAACATTGAACACAGATTGCAAACAATGAACACAAAATTGACAATTGACAAACATTTACAGACAAAAGAGTAGACAATCAGACCATTAGAACACAGGACATTAATTCAATAAAAACATTTTCAAACAGTCTACCACAAACACTTCTGCTTGAGAGAAAACTTCCTCAAAGTCAAAAATAGATCCATGTTCATTCATTTTTATCCCCTTCATTAATCCATTTCTGGGTCAGGTGGTGGCAATCGGGGCAATCCTCATAGCACCAGCCCCTTACTGATCCTCCTGCAGGTGGTGGGTTCACAGGAGAATGGCTGCTCAGATAACAACAACACAATCTTGGTCTTGGCAGTGTGGTTTAGTGTCTTGCCCAGAGACACAACGGCAGCAGATGTCAGTAGGAGTCGATGCAGTAGGTCTCGCAGAAGGAGCGATCCCACAATCAGAAGGCCCCAAGACCAATGCTCTATATATACCCACTTTTCCGCTGTCACTCTTTTTTTTTTTTTTTTAAGTCATTCTGGGTATATATACATGTGTTACTAATAGGCCCAAATGTGTCTGTTTTTTTCTTACTACGACTGAGATGTTTCTTAAAATATGAACGGATAATGGTAAAATGCACTTCAAACATACTTTATCTGGATGATGTATAGAAAATCCACTCCTCCTCCACCTCCACCTGTTCAGCCACATTTGTATACATGTTCACCCAACTCTCTCTGCTTTTCTACCTCTCGCAGTCCCAAACACAAATTGAGATGTATGATTTAGTGCTTTATTATATAAAAAAATAAATTGTCATACCGTCAATTTTCTCCTGCATTGTAACTCTATGCTTTTTTTTCTCTCATGAACTGCTGATAACATTTGAACCTCATGCATTTAAATGAAATTTCCGTCTGTTGCCAAGAAGGTTTTGTGTCCACAAACGTTAGCAAAGACCAGCTGGTTATCTGTGAATGGAGCGCTAATAGGGGGCAGACAGACCAGATGAGTAATGAAGATGGAGAGATGCTTCTTTCTCTGCTCGCCGCGTTCAAGGATTTGACCTTATTCTGGGCTAAAAGTCACACAGATGCATTGACATTATGACACAATATTACAGCCTTTAACTCATTGACTGCCATTGACGTATTTGTCTGAGACCCTCTATTTGACTGGGGATTACAGGACAATAAAAATGGATAAAAACAAACTTATTTTTGTTGATGAAAGTAGACAATCCAGTCTTTCAGAATCCGGTTTGACATTTCACATAGTCTTAGGAGATAATATTCTGTGGGTCTTGAGAATCAGTGAAATAATCAAAAACGGCTGGCAGTCAATGAGTTAACCATTATGCTTTATCTATTTAACCCCGGTGAAAATGTTTAATAAATTCACACTTTTTGTTGGTTTGTGGCGTTTACAAGCTTGTCTTTTTGAAGCACTCAGAAATCATTTGGATGCTATGAATGCAATGAATCAGAAACTTTTTTGTCCAATCACACTATTGAGTAAAACTAAAGAATTAAAAAGGATAACATGTACCCCTTTACAGGATTTTTCTATTCAGTCATTTGGTTAGAAATACATTTGTATTTATAATCGTAATGGAAAATCTTTTCTATTGGATTAGTTCCAGAGGAAAATAATGTGTAAACACAAAATTTAGTTTTTAAGCACATTTGTTTTATAATGAATACGTTCCTGTTCAAGCTTCAAGGGTTTGTTTTAACCCTTTCAACTTTAGAGTTTGTATGAAACAGACCTGCGACTTTATCAACAATGACTACTAAATTGTTAAAAATCCACAGAAAAAAACCATGTGAAAATATGTCAGAAAAAATAAGGAAAAGTTCTTACTAAGTTTTTACTCACAACCCACTCACCCCAACACAGGTGAAACTGAAACATAGATTATTGTTCTGTACATTTTGAGGATTATACATTACAGTCAATTTACCTTTTCAATTTTCTGAGATGTTTCATTTGAGGTTTTTACCCCAATGGCTGTGCACCAATTATCAACATTATAACAAATAAAGGCTTGGTATTTCTCACTGTGGGTGTAATGAGTCATATATTACTCTTTTTTTGTTCAATTTCTTATCTCGTTCAATACAACACGTTTTAAATGGTTTGAAATAGAAGTTGTATTTCCTGTTGATAGCAGTAGATAGTGGCCTTTGCTGTCAGTCTCTAAATTAGGGCTGGTCAAGTTCAGAAAAACCATCAACATTTAGCTTAAAAAAAACAAAAAAAAGGGTATTTATGTGGGTCAATTTTCCCGAGTTTAGCACAAGGGTTAAAAAAGAAAAAAGGCAAAGTAAAGTTGCTCAAGAGCATGTAAAATGGCCAACAAGTTTAAAAATACCTCATAATGTTGTATTGCACGTCTGCCTATGTGTTTGCATGTGTTTTGCTCCTCTCTCTTTGTCAAGGCGGACTCCACCGCACTGTCCTGTGTGTGTAAGGGCTGTGGGCTTCACGGCTTCATTCCTTTGGGCTGGAGCGTGGAGAGAGGAGCTGCTTCTCTATTAACACTCCCAAGGCCACTGCCAGGAGCCAAACAGGAGAAACTCTGCCCAGATCTCCAGTAACACACACAAAATAAAGAAAGATAAAGTTCGGGTCAAGAACAGATCGGTTATAACAGCAGCTCTCATGGTCCAAATAAAACCACTGTGTTTACTACTGAAGCAGTTGGAATGAGTAAATAATTGTTAAACAGTTCTGGCCTTTTTAAATACCTTGTTTTTATGACATGTTATATCTCTATTGAGTGCAGCCAATGTATCTATGCACATTTACCTATACACGAAATATGGAAAATGCATGTATACATCTTTAATGGCAGTGTCAAAAATTGTAGGCCGAAATTGTTGTAATTTCTATCTATGACATTATAGTGGTGGTAAATCACAGCTGTATATAATAGAAGACATCTGGGGATAAACGTTCCGATAAGGAGGCTCCAAAGCCGCGTTTACACATCATAAATCTTTAAACAGTGCACATATGGACAACTGCCTAAGACACTGCCATATGGTCCATGTTGGTGACGAGCACAAAAACACATGAGGTTCACATCAATCCTATGAGACCAAACTACAAATTAACAGCCATATAACATATTTGGCTGTAATAATTACATGTATACTAAATAGAAAGGAGATTGTAAAACTCACTAAAGTAGTAGTAGTAGAAGTAGCAACAGTAATAGTAGTAGGAATAGTAGCAGTATGTGTGACAGGCTTCTTCTCTGAATATGTTTAGATCCAGGTAAAAAATGTTTTGTTTAGCTGTGCATACAACTGAAGGATTGCATCTTCGCTCTTTTTTAATGTACTGTGATTATTTATGATTGCATTGTTTCTATCTTGTTTTGTTAATTACTTTGGGTTGCCTTGTGTATGAACTGTGCTATACATATAAACTTGTGTTGCCATTGGTAGAAATAATAGTTGTAGATATAGTAGTAATGGTAGGAGTGACAAAAGAACATGGAAGTCTCGAGAATTCAAAAACTCTTGACCACTGATGTCTGCTGCCGTTGTGTCCATGGGCAAGACAATTAACCCCACTTTGCCTGAAGCCCCCGCTGAAAGATCAAGGCTCCTGTGGACTCACCACCTGCAGGAGGATCAGTGAGGGGCTGGTGCTGTGAGTTCTGGGTGCAGCTCTGACTACCACCCCCACCCAGAAATGGATTAAGGGGAAGAAAATGGTTGGATGGATGCTTGACGAGTAACTTCAATAGGAAAGAAGCAGGAAGGTAGACAAGCGCACAATGTACAAAAGAGGACGGCACAGTCTGAATGCGGTCTTTCAACTCACTCAAATGATGATCTCACACGGTTACTCTGGGCTTGTAGGTAATAGTAGTAAAGCATAATGTTAAGTCTAAGTATTATTAAACGACATTCGACTTCACACTGATGCAGGTAAAGTCACAGTTTTGGTCATGTTAGATCTTAGTGCCGCGTTCGACACTGTCGACCATGAGATCCTCATGCAGAGACTGGAGGACTGGGTTGGTGTCACTGGCACAGCCCTAGACTGGTTTAGGTCTTACCTGGAGGATAGGAAGTACTCTGTGGAGATTGGAGACTGCGTCTCAGATGATGTGGCCCTGACCTGTGGAGTACCACAGGGGTCGATCCTGGGACCTCTCCTATTTAATCTCTACATGCTGCCGTTAGGTCAGTTAATACAAAGAAACAAAGTGTCCTACCACAATTACGCCGACGACACTCAGATCTATGTCTCACTGACTGCAGGAGAACATGGACCACTGGATTTGCTCCTTCACTGTATCCAACAGATCAGTGACTGGATGCAAAATAATTTCCTCCAGCTAAATGCAGACAAAACCGAAATCATTGTCTTTGGTCCCCAGAAACAAAGAGAGGGCGTCATTTGTCAACTTCAGTCTCTCTCCCTACTTCCTTCAGACAAGGTCAGAAATTTGGGGGTAATACTGGACTCAGACCTAAATTTCAATAGCCACATAAAATCAATAACATCAACAGCTTTTTACCATCTGAAGAACATTGCCAAAGTTAGAAATATAGTGTCCAGGGCAGACTTGGAGATTCTTGTCCATGCATTTGTCTCCAGCAGGCTAGACTACTGCAATGGCCTGCTTACAGGTCTGTCCAAACAGACCTGTAAGCAGCTGCAGTACATCCAAAATGCAGCAGCTAGAGTCCTGACAGGAACCAGGAAGTATGACCATATTAGTCCGGTCCTCAGGTCTCTGCACTGGCTTCCTGTGGCTCAAAGAATAGATTTTAAAACGGCTCTGCTTGTGTACAAGTCTCTCCATGGCCTTGCACCAGAATACATTAGTGACATGTTGGTGTCATATGAACCGGCCCGGACTCTGAGGAGCACAGGGACTGGCCTCCTGCTGGTGCCCAGAGTGAGAACCAAACATGGGGAGGCTGCGTTTCAGATCCATGCAGCTAAGATCTGGAACAATCTCCCTGAAAATGTGAGGGAGGCGTCTACTCTGTCAATGTTCAAATCCAGGTTAAAGACTGTTCTGTTTGCCTGTGCATACAACTGAAGGATTTTATCTCCATTTCTAATGCACTGCCGTCATTTATTTATTTTTTTTAAATTTCTTGTGTAATTTTGAAAGTTTTAATGGTTTTATTCTTTTGTGTGATTTTAATGTTTTAATTGTGTTTTAATCTTTTGTGTGATTTTAATGTTTTAATTGTGATTCTGGTGTTTGTTTTATGTGATGATTTGTGATGTGGACTGTGAAGCGCTTTGTGTTGCCCTGTGTATGAAAGGCGCTCTACAAATAAACTTTGATTGATTGATTGATATTATAAACTGGTTATTTTATCGGTATCACAGATATTTGCACCAGTGTGTTGGGCATCTTGGTAACAAAGAATGGATTTTTGACTTTCCTGGTAAAGGCAAATCATGAAGATCTTAGAAAATCAAAAAAATCAATCAAAAATAAACAAGAGTTTAGAGATTTTAAAAAGCCTTTATTTTCTCATGGCTGTAAGTTATAATACGAACCAACGCGTATTTATCCTGGTTTGGCTTTTTACATTCTCTAAACTATTGACCAGGATTTTCTAAGATCTCCATGATTTGCCTTAACCAGGAAAGTCAAAACTCCATTCTTTGTTACTAAGTTAAACCCTTCTTCCAATTGAGCCCCTGGTCTTTTAAATAACTTTACACGCTTGTACCACCCAGCATTCCTTACCCTTTGTATGTTGGGCATCTTGCTTCTGTCATTGCCATGTGTGGAGTATTGTGCTTTGTGTGAGCTGGGTCAAATATCACCCACTGAATACTTACTACCAGCATAACTTGGGATATTGAAAGTATGAATTCATTTGAGATCTTTGACCAACTGGCCTCGTATTTCAACACGTTTGGCAACAGAGTTCGACTAATGATGACATGTTTCTATTGATAAAGCATGTTCTGTGTTTCCTATTGGACGAGAGGACTGTCCTGGTAAAGACGGATTAAATACATTTGTACAAAGCTTGCTGTCCGGTCAGAGATCGGGTCCACACATCGTCAGACCACACATAAAATACTTTCCCTTCCTTGCCTATGCTACTCCGTCCATCTTGTCTCTCTACAGGGCAACCACTTATAGGCTTTCCAGGTTAATTCATGAACATAATTAAGTTGAATTGAGATGAGAAGTGGATTGGCGTGGGAGGGTGAAGAGGAGCAGAAATTATCTGGCCAGTCCTTCATGATTAAGAATCTGTTTCTACAGCTGGTAGATTGGACGAACAACCATAGCTCAGTCTTGACTCACTCACAATAGTGTGGAGTTCCATATATGCCATCTTGATGTGTAAATGAGCTACCATGGGACGTCTCACAAGAGCCCTGTGAAATATCTAGCCTAAATTTAAATAGAATGGTAAAAATGTGAGATGTGACTTGGGTTAAAATAGCAATTCTTGTCGGTGTCTTTTGTCTTTTTTCTTGAAAATGTACCAAACTAAACAAAATGTCTCCTGTGGACACAAATCTTGAATCTTTCCTGTTCTATTATCGCGTCACCTGGGTCTTACCCATGCATTCACATTCTCAGCAAACTCTGAGGCACAATGGGGCACTAATAGAAGAATTATTTCGCTTTTGCTCTGCTCTGATGGAGGTATGCCAGGTATGCACCAGAATAAATGTGATTTTAAATGAACTAATATTAAAAAACACTTTAGCAAAAGAGAAAAAGCCATGGAATCAAATGTATGTTTAATAAATATCTAATTCTAATAATTTTTTACATAGCTTTGATGATGCTTTGATGACTGATGCAAGGGATGGATGTACAGTCTTTTTTTTGTTTCTTTCCCAACCAGGGTTACGTGGGCAGATGTAATACATGGGATAATTTAAATGATTTTCGAAACCTGCATACATTGCTAGTAAGAGGTTAAAGCAGGCCACTGTGATATTTTACACTTATTTTTTAAAGCTAGTTTTCAAGAAAACACACCAATTATTCTATTCTTAGCATTGAACCCAGAACACAATTCATAATAATTGGTCTATCAGTGTGCAAGAACAAGCTTTTCTAACTTTTTGTCCAGTTTTGGTTCAGTCAAGCATGAATTCATTTTGTTCATAAAAGAAAAATAATCTTACCTGCAGTAAAAAAACAAAACAAAACAATTAATCAAAAAGATTTACACACAAACATTCTCAATAGGATGGATACCATGGTGTAATCATATGAGTTTGTCCCCTGGGAATGTGAAACAGTTGGTAGAAATGTTAGCCACCTCTGAAATAGCAGGACAACAAGTCAATCGTAATGGAAGTGCTAATACGTGAAACAATTGTTGCACTACCACAGTAATTAAGTAAGCAAGCAAGTAATCTGTATTCATATAGTAATGTGATTAAAGCTTGTTTCCATTCAACCTGCTTATTATTGTATTTCTCATCTGTCTGAATACTCAAAAATCATAAAGATGAAAGCGAGCAGTATTTGTGGACAGAGTTTGACATTATCTTCCCCCTTTAAAAGCATGACCAAGAGGCTCACTTTAGTTAATTGGATCAAGCAGCAGAGCACCTTACAGTCACGGGCCATGGATGTCAGTATTATTTGGCTAATTTATGTCACAATCCAAAAAGAGAGAGGAATGGCCCAATATACAATACTGCAAACAAGATGTAATTTAATACGGATCCAAAACAATGTCTAGAATGACTGTAAAACTCAGAGGCCGGGGACAGAGACAAGAACCGAGAAAGAGAAAGACAGACAGCAAGAAGGAAAGAGCAGAGGGTATTTAATGAGGAGACAGAACGGGAAGTAAAACTCAAAAAGACATGGGAGAAAATGAAACAGTAACTAAAAATGAGAGGCGAGACAATCTACCAACAACTGAGAATGAGAAGCGGAAAAAGAGAAGAAATATTCATTATCAAACACATATCTGTCTTTACCTTAATTGACAAGAATGTATGGACATATTCGGCGAGTCAAGGGGTTGTATTTTGCTCTGCCGCTTGAAGATGTTAGTATTTGACCCTAACATTTGGAGCAAACCACGGTCTGGCTTTTTTGTTGGCCAGGGTTGTTTACTTTTCAGATCCAATATAGAGTGGTCAGCTCACCTATGGCCAGTTCGTCGC